AAAATTCGCTTGTCTGGTTTCTTTAGAATAAAAGAAAGTTAAATGGTGATTTTGGGGGGCTCATAATAACGAATTTCCTCATGATGAACCTTACTGTTAATTCAACTTGTTTTGTTAAAATATCGAAGTCTTAGATAAAGAATAAAAACTCAGTATGGTGGGAGAATTGGGGTTAAATTCATTCCTGTGTTGACCAACCATGGGGAATGACTGGGAACCCCCCTAGCCAAGCTGAAGCCAGGTTTATCACCCCTACTCCATTCGTAAAAATTAAGCATTAACCTTAATACAAAAATATTCATATAAGCAGATGCTCCAGAGAGCCTTCTGGCCACAATGGCCCCAGTATGTTAATTTTCTGTCCTTAGTCAGCTCTTTTACTGGAGAAGTCAGCATGTGAATAAAGCCCAAATATTTCAGGCAAAAGTGAAATGAATGACACTCCAACAGGTTCAACCACACAGTAGTACTTTAAAGTTATCCCCTGGGCAATTTTCATAATACCAGGAAAAATTTTTAAATATGCACATATTTAGATAAAGCAATGCCAGTTTTAGGACTATGCCATGCAGAGATACTCACAAATGTGTACAAAGATCATGTATAAGGATTTGTGTCACCACATTATTTGCAGTAGGAAGAAATTGACAATAACTTAAATAACCTTCAATGGGGAACAGATTAAATACCTTCACACAAAGGGGTAATATTCCTTCAAGAGGATAAGATAGATTTATATGGGGTGATGGGAAAACATCCTCAGCATGTCGTTTGGTGAGTAGAGCAAGCTTCAGAATAGCGTGATCTTAATAAAAACAGGAAAAAATAAGAGACCCATGTACGCCATTGTGGGTAAGAGCATACTCATGTGGTTAGCCTGCCTGAGCTTGTACTATGCACCAGCTGGTCACCATGGAAATGTGAAGGAGGCCTTGTTTTCCTCTTCTTTAAAATGGAAATAATAAATGCACCTGCCCCATAGACATACGACAGGCTTTCAGAATGTGTCAGACCAACTGTTAGTAGTGATCAACTCTGGGAAGTTGGACATGAAAAAGGGGGAACTTTAATCTTTACCATATTCACTTCCAGACTGTTTTATATTTTTTATAAGAATGTTCAAATAGGCTTTTAAAAAGATGTTCTCTCTGAACTAGAAGCTATCCATTAACAGATGACAATTCTTGGCACACCTTCAGGAGGCTGAAGATTAATGAGGGGTGAAGATAGTTAATTCAGTGAGGCCCTCAAGACCCCCTGGGAACTTTTCTCTTGGAAGAGGGTGGCCTTGATCAACAAGGAAGCCATGATGAGGGGAGGGGGCTTGGTCCGCAGGAAAGCCATGATTGGGAAGAGGAGGACTGACTCCACAAGAAAGCCACCAGATGCTGTACATTAAAAGATTAGCACATTTCCTGGTAATAGTCCAAACCTCAGAAAGCCATGTCCACTTATAACCTCAAAACTGAGCACAAGTGACTTCATCCAACCTCCTCGCACTAAGCAACATCTGCAGACTCTCTCAAGGCCTCTATCAGCATAAGACTGTGTTCCTGGGATAAGCCCAGTCCACCTTAAAATGCCTGCCTGAGAAAGTTCAAATACTACCAAAGGAATTTACTGTTTGTTCCAGCTAAAACCTGACTATAGGCCCCTGACTTGCCTTTCCTTCCAGCAGTTACTTTAGAAAACTCAGTTATAAATCTTTTCACTGCTCCTTGGAGGTGTAAATCTTTTTCCACCCAGAAATGTTTCCTCAGCGGCCTGGGAGCCATCTCTTTGAAATGCAGATCTCTAGAGAGACGTCTCCCAGTCTCTGTGGGAACATAGAGACTAAATTCAGGGGGTGTCTCGCTCCAATTTCCCAAATCACCTCCTGTCATAAAGATAGATATTTGTTTCTCTTCCATAAGAGCCAATTAGCAAACAGGTAGTAATTACACTGACCCTCCCCCCCAAACACACACTTTTACACACTTCAGTATTTTTCCCTGAGCACAATCCAGACTTTAAAAAGTCTCCCACCTGTTGTTTCAGTGGAGTGGAACGGAGTGGGGTTCTGCACTGGAGTCTCTCTCCCCTGCTGCAGTATCTGGATAACATTGACCCTGCTGCCTTTCACAGCTGTCAGCAGGTGCCACTGGTCAAGGAGGATCTTCATCACCCAATGGTGAAGCCATGGGTGTGGGGGAGAGGGGAGTGAGGAGAACTTAGCATCCACCTGAATGGTATTTTCTAATCCTCTGTCTTCCCATAAACAGCAAGGGGAGTGAAGCGGGCTAAGGTGTTCACCAGGCAAAAGGCAACTGAAATGTGCAAGAGACTTTGCCCCATGAACATTACAAAAGCTTTCAGTACTTTGTGAAGTACTAGGAAATGTGCCAATCCCTTAATAATATACAGCATCTCATTTAAGCTTTAGAGCAGCTTTACAAGGTAGGTGTCATTATCTTTTGGGAATCCAAACCTCAGAACCTTGCTCTAGTTCACACAGCACATAAATAACAAACACAGGAGTCAAACTTTAGGGTCCCTGTCTCCAGAAGTCTTTGCATGGCCCAGAGAAAAAGTATGGTAGCTGTGCAAATGAAGTTCAGCTGCCCTGTTCTCTGCATGGCACCTGCTGGTCTCTGAAATGCCTTCCCTTGCATGCCACCTCTCTCCCCAGCTAGAAGGCCAGCTCCCTATGGGCAGGGATGTTGTCAACTCCTGCATCCATCTACCGTGTCTATGAAGGGACTGGCTGATGGTTGGAGGCCAAGAAGTATTTGTTGAAGAAGAGAGGAAGGAAGGGAGAAAGGGAAGAAAAGAGGAAAAGAAAGAAGAAAGGAGGAAGGAAGGGAACTTAAATGGGATTTAGAAATGTACTATCTCTGGTTCCATCTCTACCCCCACCCAGACTTAATGGTGAGGGAGCTGTGGCCAGGGAGGTAAAGTCACCAGCCATCAGGGAGCAGATGTCTATTTCTCAACCAGGTTAAGGGTCACCTGGCCACCACCAGGCAGGGGAGGAGGGGAGGAAGCTTTGAGAATAGCTTAGAAGTTACAAGGTTTCTCATCTTCAGCATTACTTGAATGGAAAGGGGAGGGTTGGGAAAGGATCCCTAAGAAGGAGAGGAGGCCAGTCCAGGCATCAGAAAGAATTTCTTAGCAGAGAAAGGATAGAAAAAGAGCAGAGTGGAGTCTGACCAGGAACCAGCTCACTTTCACACGGTTTCAAGAGGCTTTCCTTATCCCTTATCAGTAGGGTTCCCAGAGGGAGTCATCTCTTCTGCAGAGGGACTGATTTTTGTACTCAGGGCAAATCTAGGCCTTACTCTCTTAATTGTCTCCCAGCTGGGTCAGGGTAAAAGTCACTGTTCTGTTTCTTCCTAGGAACATAGAGAGGGTGAGCATACAGTTTGGTTCCTGGCCTGCTTTTTCATACCGGCTGTTTCCCAAAATGGCTGCACTCTTGTTAGGGTCCATTCCTTTCTCTGACATTTGGGGCCAGAAAATCCTTTGTTGTGGGATGCTGTGCTGTGCATTTTAAGACGATTAGCAACATCCCTGGCCCCTACTGACTCCACACTACTAGCATTGCCCCTCTCCACTCAAGTTGTGACAACCAAAATATATCCAGGCATTGACACACGTCCCAGCAGGGCTGGGGTGGGCGTGGGGGCCAGATGTGTGGCTGAAATTGGCCAAAGTTGAGAACCACTGAATTAGAAGATAATGTAGTCGCTGGCCATGAGCTAGTTAAAGAGTATTTAAAATTCAGCCCTCAAACAGAAGCAGAGGCCATTTTGGGCTTTGGGGGTCTTCGGAGCTATGGCACAAACTGTAGAGACAACAGGAATCTTGGGTTTTGGCCTGATTCCAAACTCCTGAGGCAAAGGACAATTCATCAACATGATGACTCAGGAAATGAATGTTCTCATGATCTGCCTGCCATTCCAGGTAAGAAGTTAAGAAATTTAATAAGAAAATTGATCTCTACGCACATGGGGAAAGAGAATCTAATGAGCAACAGGCCAGGCTGATTCAAAAGCCTCCAATTATTCTGTCTAATACAGGCACAACCATTTCTGAACACAATTATGAACTTGAAACCCCACAGGGGAATTCAGTGGAAATCATTTAAACATTTATTTGATGTGAAACCTCTGACCCAAGCAATTACAGAGGTAGGGCCTGGAAGAGGCAATGGTAACAGAGTTTGGGGTTTCGTTGACAAATGGTCAGTGCAAGTAATAATCGGTGGCATCTTAAATTAGATCCAAATGTGAATAAGGATCAGGAAGGATCCCATAGGCTTCAGTACCGGAAGCCATCCCATCCAATATGTAGTGCTCATTAACAGCCTGGAGGAGAAAGTAAATTTGACTTAGATTAAATTTGCAGATAATGCAAAATGAGTGAGAAATGGCAAATACAAAAGATAAATTAAAGTTAAAATGACAGAGGACCCGGATATTTGAGAACCTTGGTCAGAACTCAGTAAGGAGAAATTTAATATGAAAAGGGAAATATTACATGGTTGGGTTGGATTACATGTGGAGGTCTGAGCACACGCGGGGAGAGGTCTGGGCGGTGGTGTACTTGGTATTCCTCCACCTTGGCAGGTTGGCTGAAGAGCTTGTTAGATTGGGTTTTTAAGGAAATTTTGCAGCAGGAGAAGCAGGAAGTGGCAGGTGCAAATCTACCACCTGCAATCCCAGTCTAGAGGTCTGAGGGTTTGCTATAGGAACGCACACAGTTGTTCTATCATCACCATCACCACCGCCACCTACTGTCTTCCTAGATATGCTAGACTGTATTCTAGGAACTTTATTTAGCCTTAAAAAAATCCTCACAACAACACGTCTTATTATTCACATTTTACAGATGATGAAAGTGGGGCATAGAGAGGTTAAGTGTTTTACCCAAGGTCACACTATCAGTGGCAGACAAGGAATCATGAACCTACATTCTTTTTCTTTGGGGTTTCACTCTTTATGTCGTACACTCCACATCCCCCAAATATGGAATGCTTCACGAACTTGCGTGTCATCCTTGCACAGGGGCCATGCTAATCTCTGTGTCGTTCCAATTTTAGTATATGTGCTGCCGAATTCAGCACCATCAACCTACATTCTTTGGGAAACAAATAGCAGTAGAGGGAACCTGAAAGAAAGCCCGGGCAGATTTAAGGAGGAGTGAATTCTATTTGTAGGCAAGATTGGCCCTAGGGAAAGAAACATTTACCTTAAATATGTTCCTCCCCTTATCGGCTAGGAATTTGTGTGGCTATAACAAAACCTTAACTGTGGCATAAACAAATAGGGCTAATTTGTCACATGTAACAGGAAGACAGCAGTGGACAGATACTCTGGACGATTTCTCATTTCAGCCATGTTGGGGCTGAAGTCTCTGTGTACTTCCTGGCCTTTCTTCAAGATTGCGAGATGGCTACAAGGCACTCCATGGAATGTGAACCTTCAAGGCAGAAAAAGGTGGAAGGGCAGTGCCATTTATATTTTTCCCTTTATTGCAAAGACATAAACTGTCCCAGCATCCACTGCGGGAAGACTTGTCCTTAGGTCTCATTGGCCAAAACTTGTTCACGTGGCCACCACTGCCCATGGGGAGACTGGGAAAGCAGAAAGCAGGTTGGCATGATTGAGTTGAAGCATGATTCATTGCCTGGGCTTGGGCCTGGGGTTCTCTGCAGGAAAGAAAGAAGTGGGTATTGGGTGAGCTACTAATGGCATCTACCATACCCTTTTTCTCTCCTCCCCTGATTCCTGCAGTGCCTTGATCTGAGCAGCTGACATATTCTAGCTAAAGTGTGAGCCAGGAGGGGGCTAAGATGTCCCATTCTTATTGTTTATGTCCAGTAGAGTGTATCAAAGGAACTGAGATCACAAATCTTTAGGAGTGGGTTCTGGAAAGTCATCCCTTTGCAAGGACAAGTACCCACAGAGAAGTGTGAGCATTCATTAGGATAAAGGCCTGTCAGGCAATTTTTTGTGCAGTAAATAAAGTCAGAATTAAAGGCATTCTCAAACATGGGGAAATATGTTGACAGATTCTCCAAATATGGGGATCAGCTTATCAGCTTATGTACCAGGAAAAGAGTCAAGCCAACAAACAAACAGAAACCAAAATAAACAAACAAAAAAACCCTGGACAAACTCAAATAGCCATCAACTGGTGAATGAACAAACCAGTTGAGGGATAGCCACACAATAGAACACCACTATCAGTAGAAAGGCGCAAACATCTGAACACACAATAGTGTGTCTGAATCTCAAAGCATCATGCTACATAAAAGCCACAACACAGAACAGACTACATAGTGTAGAATACAATTTATATGAAATTCTAGAAAATACAAAACTCACCCCTAGGAATAGAAAGCTTATCAGTGATTTGCTAAAGTTGGGGGAACTATTTGAGGGGACAGGAATGTTTAATATCTCCATTTTGATCCTTAAAATAGGTACATTTTAATATGTAAATTATACCTCAATAAAGTTGATTTATATTTTTTAAAACTTGTCCACATCGGGTGGTGCCTATGGCTCAAAGGAGTAAGGTGCTGGCCCCATATGCTGGAGGTGGCGGGTTCAAACCCAGCCCTGGCCAAAAACTATAAACAAACAAACCAACCTGTCCACATCTCCATTTTCAGGGCTTTTTTTGTTTGTTTGTTTGTTTGTTTCCATTGTTTCTAGCCAAATTCCTTCTGGAAAATTTCACTGTTGTTTAGGCAGGAATCCAGGGAAAATGAGATTTGCCCAGTACTTAAGTGATACCAGTACTGTAGGGGTTTCAACAGTACTGACAGCAGTTACCCCAATTCAACAGTAGGGAGAGACAGTGTGATGGTTAATTTTGTATGTCAACGTGCCTAGGCCATGGTACCAGATAATTCTAGATGTTTCTCTGAAGGTATTTTAAAACCTGTAGTTCTCGACCCCTGGATCACAGACTGGTATTAGCCTGTGGCCTGTTAGGAACAGGGCTGCACAGCAAGATGTAAATGAGCAAAGCTTCATCTGTATTTACAGCCACTCGCCATTGCTAGTATCTCTACCTGAGCTCTGCCTCCTAGCAGATCATCCCCAACCTCTGTGTCTGTGGAAAAATTGTCTTACTGGGCTCTGGTGTCAAAGATGTCAGGGACCACTGTTTTAGATGGTTAACATTTCAATCTGTACACGTTGAGTAAAGCTGATTACCCTTCATAATGTGTGGGGGCCTCATCAAATCAGGCCTTACTAGAAAAAGACTGACCTTTCCAAGTAAGAAGGGATTCTGGCCAGCAGGTTGTCTTTGGACTTGAACTGTAGTTCCTCCCTGGTTTCCAGGCTGCTGGTCTACCCTGCACATTTGGACTTGTCAAGCTTCCACAATCACTTGAGCCAATTTCTTAAAGTCATTCTCTTTCTCTCTGAGAGAGAGATTGATTTTTATATGAACACACATGCACTTGTCCAGCAGGTTATGCTTCTCTGGAGGACCCTGACTAATGTAGACAAGTAACACTGTGGGATCAGAGTAGCGGGGCTGTGAAGCCTCCACGTACAAACTGTTGCTGCAGGTTAGCAGGGAGGAGCAGTGTTCAGAGGGAGGGTCTGCACCACGCTGCCAGCTGCTCAGTCAGGGACAGATGGTTATGTTCTCTAAGACTCCCCCTTTCCAAGAAAGCACCAATAAAATCATCTACCCATCGATAAGGATTGAATGAGATGTCGATACAAAGCAATTCTCACTTTACATTAATGATAGTTTCTATCAGAGGGTGACTTACCCAAGGTCACACAGAGTTAAGTCTCTCAACTGTTGGGACAATTTTCTTTTCACTATCTCTGGATACCTATAGAGCACCCCCCCCTTTTGTCTCTGATGACCACTAAAGTAGTCCATACTCCTCTGACCCTTAAAAGGGCCAACCGTAGTTTAAACTTGAATTAAAAGTCCAGTTTTGGTGGAAAGGACTGTCATATTATTATAATATTTGGAGCCATGATCAGTAGTCTTAAGTGGCTTCCCACTAACTCATTCGAGCTGACTTTATTCTCTCCATCACCATGGTCAGTAAGCCACAGAAACCTCATTCCTGCTTCCTGACACTCAGGACTCAGCCTCTCTTGAGTTCCCCAGGGACTGTGCAGGGAAGCTCCACGTATTTCTTGGTCCTCCCAGACACCCTTGTTTCTGCCATAATGTAATATACTGGTCTGAATACTTGGGTGCCACAGTGATAGGCGCCATCAAGAGAGAGAACAAGAGAGATGGATGGATGTGTCTTGATTTGATAAGTCAAATCAGATTAGACTAATGGCATTTCAGAGATTTTTCTGAATAATTTTTTCCTTAGGATCTTGCTACTAAACTTGGTTGCAACTTCGCCTGGCTAAAGTTGAGAGACTATGTCTAGGAGAATGAAGCCAGTCACCTGGGGTGGGGGTGAAGGGTGAGGGGTGAAGAGACGATGACTCGGAAATGATCATGCCTTATATTTGTACAATCAGTTCATGAAAAGCCTATGGATCTCTTTCATAGTCATAGTCCTTTTTATTTTTGCCCTAAGATAGGAAGAAAGGCAGGATGAGGAGCACAGCTTCTGCGGATGGGTCCTTAGAAGAAAAAACGAGAGTTGCTCAGCCCCAGAACTGTGCCAGCTCCACCCTTTGTCACCTCTCCTCTCTGGCCAACCTCCTGCCTTTAGTCCTTACCACTTCATTATTGGAGGAGTGGTTAAGATATTGGAAGCTGCCCAGCCTTCCAGGCAGCATTGACCTGGAGTACACCACTGGCTTTCATTTTCCCAGGTCTGGGTCCTTTGGCCAAGAGGCCTAGAATTGTTCTGTTCTTCCACTGTTCTGGAAAACAGTGCCCCTTCCCCAGAAGATCCCTTGACCAATGTCCAGTTCCCTCTAGGGGTGATCTGAGGAAGTAACTCCTCTGTGGTCACACTCAGCACCCCTATCTCTCATCTTCTCAACTTTAAAGGGGAAAATAGTCACACTGGAGGGTGCTCAAAACACATCAGCCAGGACAGGGGAGGGAGGAGCAGTTGGTCCAGGTGAGGAGCTGTTGACAGCAGAGGGGATGTCAGACTCAGAATGTGGTCACAGGAGTGTCTGTGAGACTCCTTACAGACCAAAGGGGCAGGGTAGAATGGGACCGTGTGATGAGGAGTTGCTAGACATATTCAGTTTCAATAGAAGGGAGTTTTCTCAATCCAGTGTTCTCCAAAGATGGGAACATGTGAGTTCTCTAGCGCTGGAGATGCTTGGTGTGGGCACCAGGAGAGCCCACAAAGAAAGAAGCTAAGGAGATGAGCAGTTAGATTAGACCCGTAGGTCTCAGCTGGGGGTCATTCCACTCCTACCCCCTGAGAGGGATGCTTGGTAATATCCCGAGACATTTTGGTTGTCACAGCAGAGAGGTGCTACTGGCACTTGATGGGTAAGGGCTGGGGTGCTGCCTATCATCCTACAATGCCCCCCAGCCAGTGCCCCCCACAACAATGGAGAATTATCTGGCCCCAAATGTGGACGGTGCTGAGCTTGAGAAGCCCTAAGTTAGATAAACTGTAAAGCTGGAGTCGAGGGTAGTCCATCTGTTTGGTAACTCTGAAGACCATGGAAGGTAATGGGTCACATGCTAGGAATATCTGGATATTAAGGATTTTCACATAGATGAATCTCAGAAATATGTTTTCCATTTCAGACACTATAGGCTATATTTTGGGATTCTGCCCATTTCTTCTGTAGCCAAAACTATGAGTCTGTTATTTTCCACAAAGCAAATTTTATGTTCCCACCACTTCCACCTACTTTCACATACAAATTGGAAGGCAATGTGCCCAAATCTAGAGCTAGTGGGCTGGGGGTGGAGAACAGATGACAACAAGCAAACAGAGGGGACTGCAGGTAGATTTTTCCTAGACGTCTCTAAAAATTATCCCGGATTATCTTGTGTAAGATTTTTATTTTATTTTATTTTATTTTTAGAGATGGGGGTCTTACTATGTTGGCAGTCTAGCCTCGAATTCCTGGGCTCGTGTGATCCTCCTGCCTCAGCCTCCTAAGTAGCTTGGATGACAGGTGCCTGTCACCATGCCCT